TGCCTTTTTGTATCTCTTTATGTAACATAAATCCGGGCATTGTTTCATATGTAAATGTAATTGGAGCTTGGCAGTGAAGAATGGCTGTCCACGTGCTGACACATGCTGAGGTCAGCTGCTTTGACAATGTTGCACTACTGTACCATCCATTCTAGCAGTGCAATAGTATTGTCATAGCATTTGGCCTCAGCTCACACTAAACTGGTGCTAAAAGGCTCATTTCAAACGAGTTTGTGTAGAAGTGGAGCTGGTGACTGAGAGCAGGTGGTGCACAGCGAGCCTCCTAAACTGTTTACACACCTCAGTATTTACAGAAGAGTTTACACACATTTGTAGGCTAACACTAGACCTCTAATTGTGCATTTGAAAAGGACAAAAACAAATGATCAAATGAGTTTACCTAAATTATAATATTGATTCTGTCCATCTTGTTTGATGGTGTATTGATTGTAAGTAAAGCACCCTTTTTAATTTGCACAGCAGCTCATGAAAAATGTAGCTAATAATTTAAAGTGAATTTCAGAATCAATAAGTGAGGGGACATTTAAATGAAACCAGAAAATGTAATAAAACATATTTCTAATTCATTTTAACACCTACAACTTTGATGGTATCTGAATTGAACGGTTTAAATGGTAAATTAAATCCATAGTTTTTTGGAGGGGAGGGGGGAGTTTCTTTACCTGTGTATTGTTTTGTCATCACACCAAACACTGAGTATCTGTTTGCTGATGGTGAAATAAGTAGATGGGGGAGAAAAAACAGTGGGCGGGAGAGGTTGATGTGTGTTTTTGAGCATCTTTGGTGGTAGCAGGTCGATGGGGGGAGGGGAGGTTTGGGAGGAATGTAGGGAGCAAGGCCTTCTCTTCCCCCTCGCGTTTGGCCTTCTCTTCTGTCTTTCTTTCTCTCCGTGTTGAGATTAGGTGTCACTGCTCCTGTGTGTGCCTCGTGTTTGAACCACAGAGTAAGAGAGTAAACAGGTTTGTTTGTTTTGATGACTGTCAGCAGACCTCCGGGTGGAAATGTTCAACCAGTCCAGTTAGCTGTTCAGCAGAAGGACACGACGAGTAATTAGAAAAAACAGAAAAATAAAACGTCTATTGTGCACTAATACAGATAAACATTTCAAGTGAAGGACAGATTGTGGTGTTATCGTGTGGCTTTTTAAAAGTACTTTACATTTTATAAGACATGCATTTATGTGATTGCACACTGAAGGGAAGTCAAAAAGAGACCTCAGTCACTTGACTGTGTGAAATTCTCCCTGAGTAAAGAACGTGACTTGTTTAGGCTTGCTTGCAATGCTTGCTGGGAAATCCTGGAATGTGTGGAATGGGGGACGGTGGTGCTTCTGCAGTTATCTGACTGCATGGAGCAGCAAGTATCCTGCAGTGAAACCCAACATGTCAGGGGAGATGTTTTTAGGCATCCTTTTCATGTGCAGACAAAACTACATAGAATAAAAGCTTATGAGATAGTGACATCTGCATTTCATTAGGTCCATAAAACACAACATGCTCCGACTGCTACGCATGAAACAAATGTTTGTGTGTCTTTTCCTTCAAAATGTGTCAGGCCTGCTGTTCACAAGTGGGTGTGGATTCATTTCACTGTAGCTAATAAAGCTTGTTGTTTAGCATATATGAAATTACCTTTAGAAAATGTGTTGGAAAGTAATAAACTGTTCAAAATTGTGTAGCTAATAAAAAATAAAGTTATATGTTTTTAATACTTGTTGTGGTTTTCTAACAGATTTATCTGATGTAAGAAATGTCTGTTATTTTTCTTTGTTGAATAAAGATGAATAAAATGAAGTTTTCGATTGCTCATTGTTATTTTTCTTGGAAAAAACAATTAAAAGGGCAGAAAGAAATGTTTTTTTTTTAAATTGTTGGCTGTCAGATGTAAAAATCTCACATAGACTTGAAATAGCCTGTTGAAAAACGTAACGCCTGGCTTATATTTGAATAAAAGAAAATAAAATTATGAATGAAACTGGAAAAAATAAATGTATTCCTCCATTAAATGATATCCTATAATAACATTGAAATCTCAGGCCCGATCACGGCCTGCTCGCAGTAGAAAAGGTAGTGCAAATGTATCAACAATGTGAATGAGTGTGATTTAACACACTGATGTCACTTAATAATAGTTTTGTTGTTACCTCTTAATACAGGAATTTACTCTTGTAAACTTAAAATGCATAGCCATACTTAGTTCAACTGTATTTCCACTTCTAGTTTCCCAAGACAACCAAAGTGCAGATATTAATTAGAATTTGCATATTGAGTTTTGGACGATATATTAGAAACAATAATTAGAAATAGTAACTTGCATACCTCTGATTGATGTAATGGCCAAACAGCTCAAAAGAAAAACATAGAATTTGGATATTTTCATCATTATCGACAAAGAGGTTGAGAGAGAGCAGATACAGAGTGTTTGTACTTCTCTGTCATATCATGCTGAAAAGGGTAAAGTAAAATTGAATTAGAAAGTCACAAGTTAGCAAAGAGGAATGTTGTTGTCTTCTGTGAAAATGAATAGCATAAATCTTTGGCTTTATAAATAAAAAGCCACAAAATAGAATACTTGTAATTCCTATATTCGAATATTATATGAAGATACTGACTTTTTGCCACCCATAACTTTATATTTGAGGTGAATAGAATAGAATATATATTATTGTCGAAATGTATTTGGCAACTCTCACTGCAGTGAAGCACCCAGTGTCTCCCTCTGAAACATAAGGTTGACTTTGATGACATTTACATAAATGTTTCCTGATATTTTGTGATCTAATGAAAATGAAGTCATGTTCAGGGACATCCTCAACACAAATCCCCATCTCTTTAATACTATAATTATAGAAGGTGTGAATTACTGTATTTAAAATCAATCAAATATTTTTACAGAATGCTAAAAGAACTCTAAACAGCAGCACAGAGAAACTGCCTTTTCACACCTCTTCAGTACAGGTGTGTGTGTGTGAGAGAGAGAGTGTGTGTGTGTGTGTGTGTGTGTGTGTGTGTGTGTGTGTGTGTGTGTGTGTGTGTGAGAGAGAGAGTGCGTGTGCATAGCAGTGTGTTGTCTAAAGGAGAGGAAGGAGGGGTCGCAGAGCAAGAATAGGTGTGTGTGTGTGTGTGTGACGTGTGTGTGTGTGTGTGTGTGTGGTGTGTGTGTGTGTGTGTGTGTGTGTGTGTGTGTGTGTGTGTGTGTGTGTGTGTGTGTGTGTGTGTGTGTGTGTGTGTGTGTGTGTGTGTGAGTGTGAATGTTTGTCAAGAGAATTTTTACAGGCAAGACAGTTTGGTTTGCACACTAAATATCACCAGCAGGCATAGGACATAGTTCATGTTATTTCCTGCAGGTTCTCGCAACAATTGTTAAAGGATTACATTTAGAGCGGATGGTCTGGAGTCAGGCTACCTCTAAATCAAATATATGACTATACATTCTTTTAAGCTAGAGGTTAAAATGTTAAAGTGTGATATTATGTTGAGAAGATATTTAAGAAGAACAAAAATAGGAACTAGAGATGAAAGCTGAAGATGTGAGCAGGTGAGAAAATAAAACCTGACAAATTGTGTAAAATGAATAAAAGTCCACGTACAATAACAACAATCCAGGTGACAAGCAGACAATGACCAAGGAAACACAAATTAGCTGAAATACACCTAATACAGGAAATGACATCATCTAGGAAGTGTGTGTGTGTGTGTGTGTGTGTGTGTGTGTGTGTGTGTGTGTGTGTGTGTGTGTGTGTCAGAAAGTGGGGCTCCTGGTTTGGATTTGCATGTTAGGTTTTCTTAGAAAGTGTAACAGTTTGACTATTAATAGATTATACGATCCATGTGAAGACCTCCTTATAGTTGCTTGAACAATCAAAATTAAAAATGGATTTTCTCAATTTTTTATTTTCGTACACAATAACTCTGATTCAGCACTGGATCATATAATCATAAAGTATACATTTGGGCTGTGTCCTGAGGCTTCATCATGATGTATACCATGGCAACATCAAATCCAACATGAGACAGCATGTTTGCATCAGTTTCTCTGCTGAGTGAAATGTGTAGCTCTGGATAGAAGCAACGCAGGAACACAGGAGAAACTGCAAGAACACTCATCAATAAATAATTTCCAAGTTATATATGATCACATATCTGATACTTTGAGGAAGATACATGGTGTGTGTATGTGAGAGGAAGAGAGAGACAACACATTCCTCTGTGATAAAGGTTGGCCTCCCGTGGGAGCAGCACTCTGAGCCGAGGAGGAAGATACAGATTGTGTGTATAATACTACACAGGTGTGTGTTTCCACTATGAAAACAGCAAAATAAGATTAGTTTTCATTAAGATGGGATATCTACATAAACATGCATCAGTTTCCCCTTCAAGGAGATGAACTGTTGTATTTACAGATGAGTTTTTCGGATGTTTTCTGACCGTATTTAATTGGTAAAACAATGATTCATGTCATTGAGAAGAAAAAGATGGATAATTGTTTGGTCAAATCAAATATTTGGCTTGCAATATTCAGTTGTTCAGCCAGTTGGCTCACATGCACACACACACAAACACACACACAGGAACCGAGTCTGTTGGTGATTCACTGCCATCACATGGACAACCGATGCAATACAGAAGGATAGCTTTTAAAGGGTCAGCTTACCCAAATAATTAAATCAAACTTTAACTAACTTGCTTCTAGTTCCTTTAGTTCTGGTTCCATTTCCCAGGTTTTATTGTTGTGTTCCTCAGATTAAATGCCAATTCTATCACAAGATTACTTTTATTTGGTGCCCACAGGCTCTTTCAAAAGGAAAAACTCAACAGCAATGTTTATTTGCAGACACCTGGTTACTCTGAGTTTACTTCTTTGGGAGCCATTTTCATTGGAACTACTTCCTAACAAACAAAGAGTCTCTATGAGAATTGTCTGTCTGCATGTCCTCTAATATTCTTTTTAAATAATCTTAAATAAAACCGATGAAAACAAATGATATAAACGATTTATTGAAATGGCTCAGCCGAAGGTGCACAAACAAAACATAAATATAGATACTTATTACAAATAATGACACAAATGCAGATGCAACACTACATGTAATAGTAAAACTCTACATATATATATATATATATACACAAAACAAACACACAAACAGTCAGAACCCTGAGTCTGCTAAGAGCTTGTTGCATAGCACTTCATATCCACTAGGGGGGGCAATACGTTCGTTTTCTTTGAGTCACTTCAAGGCTGCATCAAACTCTTTATACAAGCTCAGGTGCAAACAGTCACTCTGTGTCCATGACATGCAGAGACACAATGTTCTGTATCTCTTCTTCTGAAACATCACAGCTGTCCTTAGCACTGCGAGAGAGACATTTTAATAACATATTAGCAGAATTCTGTGAAAATCAAGTACATAATAATGCATCATATTTAATAATAATACCCTTAGTTTCTGGTCATCTTGAAAATGTTGTTGGTGACGATGAGCTCCGTTGAAGCAAAATCAGTCAATTGTTGCAACATTCATGGGGCATCTGAGAGAGTTTAGGAATAAGAATGAGGTGTAAAAGATGAACAACTATTTAGAAAAACGAATTTTACAACAGACAAAGAAGGGGATCAAACACGCTTTTTATCGCTTCAGAAGTTTTGCCAAAATAGTACAGCTATCCTAAAAAAGATTCAAGAAAACTTTTTCATGCTTTTATTTCAAATACATTACATTATTGCAGTGTCCTTTTTAATGGTCTGTTCCATTTGAAGAAAAGACTAGTAGTGTAGTTTAAGCTCCACGTCATTGCTTCCACATATCTTTTTTGACACATTTTAAGGTTCTTGCACTTGTTTTGAAAGTTATTAATGGTTTACACTGGCCTACATTGCAGACTGTCATTTTATAATCCTTCTGCCACTGCTAGGTTTCTAAACACACAATTAAAATGCAAGAAAATAGGCAGCAGTACTTTTATAACTGTGCTTCACAATTATGTAATACCCTACTAAGAGCTATTAGAGAAGTGGGCTTTGTGAATATTTTAAAGAACAGCTGAATACATATTTATTTGTTATTTGGCTTATAATTAATGTCATACTTTTTCTCAATATATTCTTTACGTATTAGGTGTGTGTGACGACTGACCAGGACTGGGGGGGCCATGAAGTGGTAGTTGAAGGGGTAGTGCAGCAGGTTGAGGCAGGTGGCAGAGTAAAGATCTGCGTAACGCAGCATCTGGTTGGCAAACAGCGTCTGTCTGGAGCCGCTGCGCAGGAGGCTGCCCATCTGACCATAGGACATGTCCATCCTGTGAGTCAGCACCTGAGAACACCAGCAACATCAGCACAAACACCTGGACAGAGGGTAATAATACATCTGAAACACACATGGCTATCATACCAGTCATCAGGGTTTTGGATTCTGTTGCATACAATCATCCTCAAAGTTTTTAGAAGATTTTCCTGGTCTTAAACGTGCGCCAACGATGCAGGATTACTTGGCTTTTGACACTACAAAACTAAGGCTAAGAATAATTTGGGTATGATTATTCTGTTGCAGTGTACAAATACCAACACATGTCTCTTTATTTCATATGTTGTTTATGATTATAGATTACTGAAGTTTCCAACCCATAGATTTGGGCTTTTATTAAGACAAAATCTTTATATCCGTCATCCAAATAGAGCCTAAATGTGCTTACACATTTCTAAAGCCAGTGTTGCTGTTTTATTTAAACCCTTCAATGTAGGAGCAACTTAATTAACAACATGGTGCATCCATGTCGTTCATCTATCTATAACTACCAGAAAAAACTTGAAGAATTACAAAATGTAGATGTGTTTTAATACGAAGAGCTCACTTTCCTTCTGGTCTGAATGGCAATGATGTCAGGACACTCCTGACTGCCGCTGTCCAGATGCCTGCAGACGACCAACACAGGGAAAAAAAGAGTTAAACATTTGTGTTACATCGGTCCAGGGTTGCGGTCCAATAGTCCAAAAATCAGCTCCTAACGTCTAACCTTATCGTCTATCCCTTGACCTCTGAGTGAAACGTCACGGGGTTAAGGGATAGTGGATAGGAGAATTCAAAAGGACTTAGGAGAGTACTTAGAGAATCCGAATGCACTTTCACTATCTGACGTGTTTATGATGCGCCAGCGGACGTCATAAATGTGCGTCTGCTGCTATGGAAACTACAGTTTTCTATACAGCGGACTACAACATGGATGTTTAATAAGAACGAGGGACTACTGTAAACTCATCTAGAGACTCTGCACCGTGCTCTGATGCTGTTGTTTTATGCTTTATGAACGTGGACAACAGAGAAACATATTCTTCATGACCAAAGTTGGAATTGAAATAAAAAGGAAAGTGAAACTTATGCTGGTCACCCTCTCTCTCCGGTTCACATGAATACAAATGATCCCAATACGTATGACTGTATGAAAATATCTTAAAATAAATACTGTATTTACTATAAACGTTAGTCCTTAACATCTATCACTGTGTATATCACCATTCAAACATATTTTAAAAGTTGAACAAACCCTACACAGCTCAGTAAACACTGTGAAATGATGACTTTATTTGATCATTTCAGTAAAAACTAACGTTCATATTTCTCTTTTTGATTATAATACTGATGAACGTTCAAAACAAAGCACTTTGGCAATTTACCACATACGTTTTAAAATGCTTAATAAGCACCGTAACTTTCATGATATAATTTCTCGGTCATAATCGGTTGTTTCCGTGAACGGCCGACTGTTGTGTGACGGCAAATGCTGCGGCCGCAAGGCATTGTGGGGCAGCATTTTCTCCTCTCCTTTCGGTTAGGGAGGTCCAGTGGTTCCTAAGCTAAAGGAGGTTATAAAGGAAGTTTGAAACCTCCTTTCCTATCATAGATAATTGGAACGGCACTTATCATGGCTGCCACTGACGTACTTCCGGGTAATTTCACTCGGTTAGGAAGGTTCCTAAGCTAAATGGACTATTGGACCACAACCCATGTTTATGAACAATAACATCCTGATGTCATGGCAACAATGTTTCCAAAATGTAGTAAGTGATGTCATGTGTTGCAGCTTAAAACAATAAAACTCAACAAAGTCATGAAGTCTAGTGTAACACGTATTTGTTTTCCTTTAAAAACACATTATCACTTGTCTGTTCTCTATGTTTTAAAAACAGATGGACATAAACTCACTTGTAGAACTCAGCTAAGAAGAAGTCGAGACGTTTCAGCTCTTCAAACATACCTGCATAAATCAAAATAAATAATCATCAGTGCTTGGAAACAACCTCAATCCAACCACAATGTTTCTATTTGTTCTCACTCTGCTTCTTGTCCCAGATGAGCAGCTCTTTGTTGAGCTCCGGTACGACCAGGAACGTCTTCCAGCCCTGACGCTTCTTGGATTTCAGGATGTCACCAAAGATGTGGTCGCCAACGTAAAGGATGTCTTTACCTTTGACCTCCAGCAGGTCGCTGATGAGGTCTGAAGAGCCTGCAAACAGTAAAGAAAGGGCTTAATAATGAATAATAAACACTACCCCTAATGAACAGCAAAAATTGAACCACTGAATTCATAGCATTTACATATTTAATTACCTTCTTCATCTTTTTGACTTCTACTCTTTGACATTTCTAGAAGGTACAAAATGTGCACTGTTTGGGTTCACATATACAGATAGAAAATCAAATCAAGTTTTATTTATATAGCACATTTATAAACGATTTTTGGTCGAGCCAAAGTGCTGTACATATAATAAAAATAGCCTACTTTACAGCAAATACAATAGCACAGATTGTTCAGAATATCAGTATGAGAAAAAACGACACCCTCTATCCTTAGACCTATAAAATATAAATCTCAACCAGCTAACTCACTATGAATAAGGAGTGAGGAGATAACGTTTATAGCATTGTTTAAACTATTTTACAAAGCTTAACACCACCAATAAATTAAGCAAATAAAAGTACATTAAATTGACTTGAAAAATATAACTAGGTAACAATAAATAAAAGCGTAACATTCCAACAACATAGATGAATAGGACTTTCAAAATAAAACATTCTGTAAAAATCCATTGTTATTTATTACTTCAGTATATTTCATGTAAGAGTTTAAAAAAAACAATAATGAATCAATAAAAACAAGTAAATGAACGTCACCTCCGGAGTACACTGTTCCATGTTGGAGGTCTCCGGTGTACGTCCCGATCCGAAGCTTTCCTGTGTTCTAGGCATTAAATACAACATATTACCAAAACCTGCTCAGTTCATTGACACTACCATGTAACACTTTAATATGAAAGATGGTTTTTTTATACCGTGTCCACTTGTCTCAGCACTGTCCCCTCTCCAAAGAACAGAGGCTTTTTAGTGTCCACCACGATGAGGTCGAAGTACGAGCGCCATGACTCCTTTTGATTTCCAGACTAAAAATGAAGCGTCATGTTAAATCTACATAATCCACTTAATATCTTCTGAATATTAAAAAATAAAAGTTAAACCGTATTACCTTAACATTACTGTCAAGCAGGTATTTCATAATTGCCTTGATAAAGAAGAAGAAAAAAGCATTTAATGTCTTCACTCTTATTTTCTTCACTATATCTGTAAAGCGTCTTTGAGCACCTGTAAAAGCGCTAACAAATTAAATCTATTATTATTATTATTTCATGTAATTGGACGTTTAGTGTAGCCTATCTAAAGCAGGGGTGGGGAACCTCCGGCCCCCGGGCCGAATACGGCCCGCGAGACCATTTGGTACGGCCCTCGAGCTAATTTATAAACACTCCTTGAACACAACATGAGCCTCACCCCCCGATTCCACCGGGTCCGTCTGCGTCGCGTCACGGCGGCGCCGCGGTTTTGGTCCGGCGTCATACCCTACCGGGCGCGTTTCAGAAGCATTTCAGAAGCGGAGCGTCTTGCCTGCCGGCTCGCAGTTTTTGTTGATTTGGGCATATTTTCTGGACAGGCTACTTTGTACAGACAAAGTTAATAATAATTGTAATATTCCAGTTATAAACGACATGAATCAAAGATGTGTTGCTGTATTTTAGTGGTAAACATTCATCATCATAATTATTCTATATAATTTACACAGTGCCTGTAAACCGGAGGAGAACGCTGGCATTTCCCTACTTGAAAGACTACGGAGGGACAGGGTCTGCTAAATTAGTTTATTTTGGGGATGGGCCGGATGCTCTGACCGGTCCACAGCCTGCCCGACGCCACTGCGCGTCGCGTCGAAAAATAGACTTGAATCCTATTTTGAGCGGAGCCCAGCGCCGAGACGCTTCTGGGACGCTTCTGAGCCGTAACGCGGCACGTCTGGTGGAATAGCACCCATTGAGAGTGGCCGCGATCTTGGCGAATGCCGCCGTACCCCCAAAACACACCAGTAGCGTCTGCGCCGCGTTACGTTGCGGCTGCGCCACGCTGCGACCTCCTCCTGCGACAACACCAGAGTTGGGTGTAACGCGTTACAAAGTAACGCGTTAATAAATAAGTAATTAGATACCTTACCGTTATGCGCTCATAAAGAATGATAAGAATAATGCGTCTAGAACTGGTTTAATTAATTAGTGTATTTACGTTTCACAGACTGTTAGCTTGTTGTGGTAGGCTGGTAGCCTATTTTAGAGCATATAAAAAGAAAGACTTGTGTTATGTCTTCCTTAATGCAATAGTAATTGGGGGTGCAAGTGGAGTCTCGCAGAGGCAAAACTGTGGCGCGCTTACACTGTAGGTGCGCCGCAGTCTGCGTGATCTGCCTGTAGGGAGGGGCGGGCCGGCCCTGCGAGTAAAGTAACGAGTAAAGTAACGAGCAAAGTAACGAGTTACTTTATCTAGAGAGTAACGAAGTAGTGTAATATATTACTTTTTTAAAAAGTAATATGTAATATGTAATATATTACTTTTTTTTAGTAACGACCCCATCTCTGGACAACACACACCAGACGCGTTTCAAAACGTTGCGGAAGTGGAGCGTCGTGTGTGCAGCCTCGCAGTTGTTGTTGATTTTGGAATATTTCCTGGACATTTGTACTTCTACAAGTAAGTAGGCTATACGTAGTTAAATGGTTTATGTTTGTGTCTGTTTAAATCGTGTTTATTGTTGTTATTTCCTATTTTGTTGTGTTGTAGACTACAGACACAGTTAATAATAATTGTAATATTCCAGTTATAAACGACATGAATCAAAGATGTGTTGCTGTATTTTAGTGGTAAAAAAATATGCATTCATCATCATAATTATTCTATATATAGGCTATATCATTTACAGTGCCTGTAAACCGGAGGAGAACGCTGGCATGTATTCTCCTACTTGAAAGACTACGGGGGGTTAACCTTGTGGGGTCTGCTAAATTAGTATATGTGGGGGATGGGCCTGGCCCGGATGCTCACCTTTCCACTTCCTGCGAGGGGGGGGCTGCCTGCCCGACTTTACCTTACGGCTGCGCCGCGGCAAAAATAGGATTCATCCTAATTTTAGAGAAGCGCTGCGCCGAGCCGCTTCTGGGACGCGTCTGAGCCGTAACCCGGCGCGTGTGGTGTAATAGCACCCATTGACTAGAGTGGCCGCGATCCTTACGACCGCCGCGGCGCGGCCGTAACGCGACGCAGACGCTCCTGGTGTGTTTTGGGGGTAACGCGGCCGTAACGCGACGCAGACGGACCCGGTGGAATCTAGGGGTAACGTGTCATCCCGTGGTATAGGCTATGTCTCGTCCGACAGGGGTGTAGTACTGACGGAGAGCACCAGAACGTCGCTCCGGCACTTCCAAAAATTGCAGTAGGCATAAGGAGCTGTACAACACATGCCGCAGTTTTTGTGTGGCTGTGTCTTTAGTTGAAAGCCCATGGCGATCTGTCATACTGATCATACAGTCAATAACTTTGTTGTTATTAGCATCTGGTTAGCTAGCTATGCTAACGAATATAAGAAGCTTTTTCTACAACCAGTGAGGTAAAGGCACATCTTTATATGATCATTATAGTTATAAAAAAATAAGAGAATAAAGTAAAGAGGTATAAAATACTATATGACAGTAAAATAAAAGTTATTAATAAACAAGAATACAGTTTGAAATGGGAGTGATTTGTAAAATATCCATAAAGAAAAAGAAAATCTGCTTACAGTTCTGTTTCATATGGGTGTTGAGAGATGTATCCATAGATCTCCTAGTGTTGCTCTCAAAGTGCACCAGATTGATGCTTTTAACTTCAACATTTAAAAAAAAAATCTTCTCGTGGGAGCATGCCCCCGGACCCCTCTAGATGAGGTTAGGTCCCCCCCCCCACTTAAATCATGTTCACATGGATAGGAAACTAAATACATTTGCACACATCCTGTGTCCATATGTTTCCGTTTTGGTGGTCATGCCACAACCGTGCACGTGAATGCATACGCGAGTCATGGTAAGATATCTGGATTAAGAGGTTGCTTTTTCTTTGCACAGCATGAAAGAAAGGCGAAATTAATGGGCTGTGATTTTAGTATTTTTAAGCAAAGGTCAATCATTTGTACGGCCCTCGGAGGATGTTGAAAAAATTGAAATGGCCCTTGAGAGGAAAAAGGTTCCCCACCCCTGATCTAAAGGCTCACCTTAGTGTAGCTGTAGTCACTGTTGGTGGCGAGGAAGACCTTGGCCGTCACTTTGAGTCGGGTTAAGAGTACAGGGAGATTTGGCTGTAAGGAAACAATAATTTATTATACATTTCAACCTTTCATTTGAATAAATCGGTGCATATTCGTTAAGTTTACCCACATCTTTGATAACATATTTCTCCAGATTCTTGACAGTGCATCCCATCAGGGCTCCCTAAACAGCAAATGGATACAGCAAAACATTTAGAGAAAATGGCACACAATTCTACATATTCTATAAGAGATATGTTAATTAAATTCACCGTATCATGAATGAAGTCCATCGCATCTCGAAGATCCTGGAACATGCTTCTGTAGGACATAAACAAGTTGCCGTGCTGGAAACCTTTCTCAAGGCTGAAATAATTGAAACAGCAGAGAAAGAGTTTGACAAAGGATTCACTTCTTAATTTAATCAGAGGAAGAAACAGGAGGAATTATCAACCATATGAAGTCAACACTTACTTTGTGTATCTGGAGCATCTGGTGAAGAAGTCCACAAGGCAGGTGTAGAGGTACGTCTCTGCAGAGTGCATGGAGGGTCAGTTAGTGAACACTGATATCATGTATAAACATACTTCTGTTTAGTAATTTAGTTTAAATGCAAAGAAATTATAATTTAAGGGTTTCGATTAAGCAAAAATCCCATATTTCAACCTTTTTACAAGTGCATTTAGTACCTGAGAGGTTGAACATAGTGTTGAGGATGTAGAAACGGTCTGTGTCGTCTCTTTGGATGAACTTGTTGGGGTAGTATTTTTGAATGTCTTCTCAATGGATCACAAAGATGCACATGCACTGTCTCGGTGTCTGACCTCACCTGAGCCTGGGTGTACAGGTCAGATTTCACTAATAAAACATACATTTAGCATTTCTGTAATTCTGATAAGATTTTATCCTTACCTATTGAGGAAGGTGAAGCCATGACTGCAGACTAAAATATTCCCGTTGGAGTCCACCTTCAGGAGGTTCCCGTATTTGGTGTCGATCACTAAACCGCTGAGGGTTGGGAAAAAAGAAAAGGATGTGTGAACAAAGGTATCAAGACGTGACATTAACAACTTATCTGCTAAATATGTCTAGGGGGGATTTGATTATATTTGAAATGTTAATTTAAAAAAAAATGCATATCCTGTTTCCTCAAGCCCAAGGCTTTATGTTGGAAATGGTCGTCATTTTTGCTTGATAGTTCCTCAATTATTAATCAATCACAATATTTGCCGATTCTTTTTATGACAATCGACTTATCAATTAACTGACTTAACGTTTCATCTTTGAGTTTTTGCTTATTTTGAACAAATTATCATTTTTAATGCAGTAATGCCATTGTAATGTGAATGACCTACACACATTGTAATTATGGACTCAAATAATATATACACACAAAAGGTATATTCAAGATTCTGACAGTATAATTTGTAAAAATGATTTAAAGAAATTCCTTTGATTAATAATTGTCAATTGGACATATTACTAGTTTTTTGTTTAAACCAAGTCAATCCTGTTCCAGAGGCAAAATAAATACAAAAATCCCTTTTTCTTTTCATCTTATGTTTCCATACAATGTCAGATAAAATTATATATTTATTGTTGCATGAATTGATGTAAAACTAACCGAGTGGGGAAGCTGGGGTCGTATGTGGAGCGCAGAAGCTCATGAGGGTATCCGACAGACACCATTCTGTCTCTTAAGAGCACAAAGCCCATAATCTCATAGTCAGGAGACTTATACACTGCAAACAAACACAATATGTTAGATATACTCAATATGACAGAGTACAGATTCATAACATCCTCATGGTGACAACATTTTACACACACACACACACACACACAAAGGTGTTACTGTTACGTACTGGCCATCGTGTAGTCCATGTCAAATCCATAGCATCGGATGTTTTCCAGCGTCAGGTTTCTGTTGATGAACACCCTGAGATCAAACACAACACAGCTGAATTCTGCAGACACATGATCAGGAAAACATGTCGGAGCAAAAAACACGAGGAGTATTTCCTATCCATATCTGTTGGGGATCTACAGATGAGGTCTGCATAAGTTCCTCCAGAGGTTATGTACATGTGGACCTGAGGGGGAAAGGTCATCTAAGGTGAGAAGACCTTTTGGTTGTTGATTTAAAGTTGGTTTCTGCGACATTATCAGGTTTACTCATGGTTTCTCAATTGGTATTTTTTCCATCACAGGAACTTGAATTTCAGGACTTGTCTACCTTGTGTATCTTGTAGTTTAAGGTCCTGACCTCTTTTTCCTGCTTCTACAGAGCTGGGTGGTGAGTGAAGATGTTATCATTACCCTCAACTATCTCCACTGTTGTTTTAAATGACTGCAAATTACAAATAAAAGCATCCAGGAATAACTTTTTACAGACTGTTGTGTAACTGTACATGGTTTCCTGTGTCACCCGTTCCCAGATGCTTGTCTTTTATCAGCGACACCCTGACAGTCACAGAGGCTATCTGCAGCACCTTCAGTCTCAACCCTCCCTGACAGTTCATACATATAGGGTTGCTGTAAATAATTTACCTGGAAGCTCTTGTTTTTGTAAGTGTGTTGTTGCTGAGCTATGAGGATGCTACTCCTGTGATCAATCCTGCACCTAAAGGCTGATGTGGAGCAAGTGTTACTGACTCAAAAGTGCCTACTGGACAGCAGTAGCTACTGTACCTGCTGATTAAATCATATAAGTGATGGGGGGCAAAGCCTCAGAGGAAAGTGACTTGTGAAAATACAAGGGTGATTATTAATACGATACGATAATACTTTAATGTCAGTTCAAGTCTGGATATTTGACTTGCATCGCAGGCAGCAGCTCCATTTGTAACATCAATATGGACACTATACATACAAAAAAAACATTCAACATAACATCACAATCACTGATAGGCCTAATAATAGGTTGGTTACTTGTTAATTAAGTTTTCCAGACCTGAGCAATCAGTCACAGATTTAAAAAAACCATTTAAATCTGTTAGTTTGTTAATAACTAAGTTGATATTAAAAGCATTGGGGCTTAGAGGTACAGTATAACCGTGTAAGGCATTATATTGATCTAAATCAAATGGACTCACATCTGGTCAAAGTCTCTCTGATTGATTGATTGAAAAGTTTATTAACAGCTTGTATATTGGGTACAGTACAGTACAGCTCAAAACATACAATTGTTAAGGGGATGCAGACCAGAGAAAGACTTTCGTCTTGTTTACATCAGGGTCCCCCATTTCCAATTCATCATGTCATTTAAGACATATAAGACATATTTGACATACAGATGGCTTATTTACAATTTACATACAGGTGGTTTTTTACATACAGATTGCTTATTTACAATTTTCATTTTAGATTTCGTTCTAATACATCCTAACCGGACATTTAAGACATACCAAGTCTACAGATATACAGTTAGTAACAGAGTCTAAAATGCGAGTATATACATAGATGGTGGGGGGGGGGGGGAAGCTGTCCATTGAACGACAGGTTGAGATTTGTACCATTACCGGGGCCAGTTTTACAATGCTCTCCCCCGAAGGTGCTCTTTAAGAGAGGTTTTGAAGGTAAGTATAGTTTTACTTTCCTTTACAGTTGTGGGAAGAGCGTTCCACCTTGATGTGGCATAATTGCGAAACGTGTATTCCCCCTTTTTTGTGCCAAATCTGGGTTTCACATGATTTGTGGAGCTCCCTCTGGTGTTATGATCATGGTATTCCTTGACCTTTGGGAAGAATTTTGACATGTACATCATGGGTACCATAGAGGTGTAGTGGATCTTGTAGACCAGGCCCATTGCAAGTAGCTGTACTCTGTCGTCTACTCTAAGCCATCCTAGGTTGTCAAAGTGGGCAGAGGTGAGGTGGGTTCTAGATGAAAGGTCAAGCAGTAGTCTGACCAGTTTATTTTGCGATGTTTGAAGTTTTATTTGTAGCGCCTTGGAGGTGCTATGGTACCATGACGTGCAAGCATAGTCATAGTACCCTTGAATGAGTGCTCCTGCCAGAGTTTTCAGGGTGTTTTTGTTTACCAGAGAGGAGATCCGGTATAGGAATCCAGTTCTTTGATTGACTTTTTTTATTACATTGGATGCCATTTTGTCACAGGAGAGGTTTGCCTCAAGAATAGATCCTAGGTATGTAATTTCCTTCTTACTTGTGACAATAATGTCGCCCACTGCAACTGAGAAGTCGTCGGATTTGCTGAGATTATGTTTCGAACCGAAGATAATGGACTCTGTTTTACCCAGGTGTAATGATAATTTATTATCGGCGAGCCAGGTGCAGATTCTGCCGAGCTCGGAGCTGAGGGTTTTTTCAACCTGCAACCTGTTCCTGTCAGAGACCAGCAGGGCTGAGTCGTCCGCGAACAGGAACAAGTTGCAGTCACATGCTGATGACATGTCATTTACATAAATTAGGAACAGTAACGGACCTAATATGCTTCCTTGTGGAACACCACAGCTCACTGGGAGGGGATGGACAGAGTACCGTTTACCTCCACCATCTGTTCTCTCCCCTCCAGGTAGGATTGCATCCAGCTCACCGATAGTTTATCAAAACCAATTGCTTTTAGCTTGTCAATCAGAATGGGGTGATTGACAGTGTCGAAAGCCTTTTGTAGGTCCAGCATCACCATGCCACAGTACTTGCCCTCGTCCACCTCTTGTTTGATGTGGTCGCTCAAATAAAGAAGGCATGTGTCAGTGGAGTGGGATGTTCTAAAGCCAGATTGAAATTCATAGATTAGTTTATTTTCCGCGAGGTACTTTTCGACCTGTTCATATACTATTTTTTCCATGACTTTCGAGATGGAGGTAAGTATAGAAACAGGGCGGTAGTTGCCTGGGTCCAATTTGCTGCCCTTTTTGTGCAGGGGGGTTACTCTTGCAATTTTGAAGTCTTTGGGTACTTTTCCCTGTTTTATGGAGAGGTTAATTATGTGAGCTATGACTGGTGAGATGGCGGTTGCTGTGTCTGAGGAATTTGGAGGGGATATTGTCGTGGCCAGTGGCCTTGTTAGGTTGGAGGGCGCTCAGTTTAATGAGTACCTCTGCTGTGGTTACCCTTGCTAGACTGAAATCATCTTTGCGTACCCCTAGGTTTTTGTAGTAGGTCATGATGTGATCTACTCTAAAAAGCCCTGAGTGGGAGGGTAATTTATTCTCTTCAGCCTGGGCTCCTCAGAGGGTATGCTGGGTAGTTTGTCCATGGCGTCCTGTCAACTTTAGACGAAGCCTGCTGATGTTCTGTGTGTTCACATGCAACTGCGGTCTGCCACTCAGCACTTTTTGCGGCCAGTCATCAGAACAGCATTGAAATGGTCAAATTTACTCAGATTTTGTAGGCGTGTACATACGTGTTTTTCTCTTTTCCGTAGTTTACGCAGGTTGGCACTGCTCCCTGTAACTTGTTGGCGAGGTAAACGACTGCCTTACGCGTTCATCCGGCTTCTGTCTGTTGAATTTGTCACGCACTCGTCTTGCAAGACATTTCGCTTTTACCATGCAGATTGTGTTATCAGAGGCGCACACATGTGTCAGGGCTGCAGCCTGCGTAATACCCTAATACCAAGGAGTTCCCGATTAGTCAGACCCGCTGTGACTCCACGGTGTTCATCAAAACAACAGTTCAGATGTTTGGAGCATGCATTTGCTATGAGTTTGTTTGAAAGCTGCACTGCACAGATGTATCGTCAGCAACATATACTTAACGTATCGAAACTTCATTTATGTCCCATTGAAAACATCATAGCCATATGTGGAGCAGACCACAAATCAAAGATCAGTGTGAACAGTTATGGAAAAATAAAGGTTTCATCATCTCCATGAACATAAATCAATCATCAGGAAAAATCTATTTATTTGTTTTATTGCTCATTATCTTATAATTTAAAGGCCACAAAAGTTCTTCTTGTTGGATAGTGATAACAACTTTCTATTTTGGCAAGGGAACCTTTTCTGTTAAAGACTATATTCATAAAGCTTTGGAGAAGAGACACAGTTTGCTGTTTGCATTGCAATGTTTTATGTAAAAAGTTAGTATTTACAACTGTCGTTTCACCACTGCAACAGAATATTTGATCCTATACCGTCAGTACTGGTTGGCTCGGATGTGTTTGCATCAATATATTACATTAACTGCCCTTTATACAGTAGGCATACACTCTAATTACTCATATGATTATACATCGTAAGAAAAGGGTTATAATAACTAATTCAATGGTGTAAACACCTGTATTTGTGGGTTGTTTAATATATAATAATATGCATTTTGTGATGATAGTAAGTCAAATATCAGCCAGTTGTCATAATAAGTAATGCAGTAAACTTAAGTTGCAGGTGAACACACATTGCTTATACAAAAACACACAATGCAAACACAATTCAATTTGTGCTGACGTTTTTGCAACTGGACAATGGATGTTTTATCTGTTTAGCCGGAGGTTAAACATGCAGACCCCACTGATAACCAAGGACAAAGATGAACACAGTCTCACCTGTCAGAGTTCAACATAGGACTTAACCACCCAAAAACAATACGCAAAAGACAAGTAAAAAAATAGAGTAAAGCAACTGTTGTTACTCGTGCTGCATTGTTCATGTGGCTGATTTAATACATTTGACCGTTAAGTTTTATAATGGAATTTAATAAACTGTACGACTGTATGTAATTGATACATTTAAAGTCCTCTCAGTGGGATATAACATAACATATTCAGGCTAAATTATTGGGTTTTGTACTTTATGACCTGGTGATTGTGATCATAATTTGGTGCCCATCAAGTTTTTTTTTGTTGAGTTTTTCCTCCCTAATTTTCCAGATTTGTACGGCATCCTCAGAAACTCTGCTGCAATTTGGAGCCCTGTCAAATGTCTTCATCTCAAGGACTTTCAACTTCACTCACAGCCAAAAAGTGGTTACAAATATTTCAACTTTCACCAAGATATTAATGTGCTTTCCACTAAGAAGGGAGAAGCTTCCCCAGCTCATAACACGCCTATCCAGCTGATAATGCAATGGTATTCAAATGATTTAACGACTGAGTTGGTATTTCCAATGGAGAACGAGCTGACACTATAGCTGAGGGTCAATAACACACAAGTTAAAGTAAGATGTCATAATTAATTAATACTATCATTGAAATCCTTAATAAATGGTTAAGATTGTATTGTTGGTGAACAGATAATGAACATTACAATGAGGGCCTTGTTATAGTACAGAGACCTGACTTTTAAAATAAAAAATAAATAAAATATGCATTGGACTACTTGTGATTACAGTGTCTGATTTTGAAGAGAATCACTGCAGGTATGGCGAAGAGGATCTGTGTTGTAGACATTTACATGAACTGTAATATCAAAGGACACACAGGGGGGAGCTCTAACCACACAGCCACACACACAAGTGTCCCTGATGACATCTGTGGAAGTAGAGGAACGTTTTTAACTGTCATGCTATACAACTGATAGGCTGCTATGCAAGAGAGCCTTACGTTTGCTGCCTTGTAGCTTCATTGGTTGAACATTAACTATTTTTCCTGTTTCTTAATTTAATCTAAAGACTTCCCCATGAATAGAATAAATCAACATTTTGGGAAATGGGCTTGGTTGCTCTATGACAGAGTATTAGGTGAAAATATTGATAACACCCATCTGTAGGGTAAATGTGAAACTAAAGCCAGCTGCATGTGAGCTTTTGACTGCAAACAGCAGGAAGGGATTTGTCCTGTTTAGGTTGTAAAATCCCCATACCACTGCTTCTATAGCTCATGAATCAACACATTATATTTCTTTTGTTGAATTCATACACAAAGTTGGGTTTATGTCGAGTACAATTTCTTAGCCTTAACACCTGCAATTGCGTTTTAAATGTATAGTCTTTCCCACAGTAACATGATTGAAAATAAAGGTTTATTTCAAAGTTATTATAACTTATTACAATGATGACCAAAACATACAAAATATAACCAAAGTTGTAAATAGCACAGGCTGTATAACTAAAAGCTAACATCAGTATGAAAATTCTCACACACTGATGTGAGCAGGTTTAATGTTAGACCATATTAGATGAGAAATAATGGGAATGTCATGAACAGAGTAAAACAATTAAAATGACTGCAATGTGGCTGTGAAGAACTGGCTTAGTAATTGTGTAATATATGTGAGTATGCAAGTTATATAGCAATAAACAATTGAATATCTCACAAGGTAATTTAGCATCAATGATTTGCTTTTTCAGGAAGAAAACCAAAAACTAACGAACATACTAATTGTTTTTTGAGAGTCTCCGGGAAAATGTACTGTGTCACATAAATCAACAGATATGAAACCGTCATGGTAATAAAGACTTGAGACTTCCTCCATGTTGCCCCCCTACAGAGAGGACACCCTGGGTCTGAGTCCCGTCCACATGTGAGCTGTCACTTGAACCTACAATCACCTGACCCGTATCTTGACTCATAGTATACGTAACGCCGGAGACCTCACCTGATCCCAAGCTGCTGACCAATGAACCCTCCCCGAGGAGAGGAAGGTAGCGAGGGTGAAACCCACCACCCCTTGCAGCCCCTAGTTACATGGTGTGGGTCCAAATATTGCCAGAATTACATCAGTGATCATACATTTTGAGGTCAATAGCGATCAATACCTGGGTGACAAATGACCAAGGGAATGTAGTAATTGTAGTATTGTGATTAATAGAAATACAAATCAATTATCTGTAGGGTTAAATAGGGAGCCAGCAGTGTTAGGCTAGCAGAAATTAAAGATAAAGAGAGACATAATGGGTTTCCTTATACAGCATGTTTACCCAAATGGATGCCGCATAGAAATGGTCCCACCATGATCATCAATAGCATCAACACAGCTCCGAATACAGCTGCAAAATTGCCTTGGAGGATGTTTGCTTTCTGTGGAGGGAGACAGAGACTGTGTTAGAGCCCGAGGACATCATTAAAAAAAATAAAGGAAACAAGCTAAAAGTTTTATTTAATTTGTTTTCTGTTCTTGTACACTCACCTGCCAAAATGTGTATAGGTCTGGTTCCCTTTGCACTGAAATTAAAAACGTCATATACTGTATATTATGCCAATGAAGTTGTCATTGGGCAAAGCAAATACCATTTGTACGAGTGAGTACAGGCGGCTAAAAAGTTGCTTATTATCTTGTCAATTAATTTAAACCCTTTGGAAAACGGCATCCAATCAGACAGACAAATAAACCAAATGTAATTTATGTTACAATAATTTTTAAAAGACCTCAACAACTTCAATAGTCTGAGCACAAACACACAACACGTTAGAGTAGCTACATTTATTTTGCTGTTGGCAGTTAGATTCTATGCAAATCTCTCTTTATTAAGTCTCAAAATATTCCTTTAAGATACATCAACTCCTCTGAAAATCATGCACGTTATGGCGGTGATTTTAAACATTTGGTGGATTTGTAACCCAAAGTGATTACAGACTGCCTGATATCACATTGACCTAAGGAAGGAGCTGGTGACGGCTGTCCATGCATTATCAGTGGGAGGCTTCGGATGACACCTGCATCTAGATAGACCACTGAGAGACTGAAGACTCTTAAAACCTGCACAAGGACAGTCTTCTGCAGGAGATGAAAGCCCTCACAACTGCCTGAGGGGCTCTTCTTACGGCTTGACACAAGCAGAAGTGGCTGACACTGCATGAAAACAGGAATTATAAGCCATTTTCACACATCAACTGAATACATTTACACAAAAAAGTTACCCATTCAGAGTCAGAGAGAGAGAGAGAGAGAGAGAGAGAGAGAGAGAGAGAGAGAGAGAGAGAGAGAGAGAGAGAGAGAGAGAGAAACAATAGAGCTCAAAGAGGAGAAATTAGAGCACTGAGATCAGAGCGGGAAATATAGAGATGCGCTTCATTGTGCTCAGGAGGGGAAAGTTAGAACAGACACTTATTATAAATGGAAACTGTGGGATATACTTCGCCTGCCACAGGCGGGGGAGAGGGATGACTGGTTTTATAGCCACTGAAAAGAGAGAGGAAATGGGAAAGCCTGAAATTATATTGGAAAAGAGCCAAGCTAAATCCTCAGTCCAGAAGCTGTAACATCAGTTTAAAAACCTCAACCACCATTAATTTTACAATTCATATTTTTGAAAACAAAACAGTACCTAAGTGAGGTGGATTATGTTTTTAGCCGTTTGCTAATGGAGGACAATATGACA